GGTCTACGCATCCATTGCACAGGACAGGACTAAGATCATGCTGCTGTACATGCACCTTCAACACAACATCTCAGGGGTGTTTCTGTCGAGCATGGTACGGAATACTTAATCCATTCCTGTCCACAGCAACAGCAGAAACAGCCTTATCTTTGTCACCTTTAACACTGATACTCAGAACTTCCTTTGCTTTTGAAGGCAAGTCTTAACTGGCACCACCACACTCCAGACATGTTAATGGTCTATTTTGTAAGGACATCTTCAGGTTTCCTACTATGACCAGCAGAGATCACACATTTCCAAGAATCATAGAATCATAGAATGTTTGGGTTGGAAGGGACCTTAAAGACCATCCAGTTCCAACCCCCCTGCCATGCGCAGGGACACCTTCCACTAGACCAGGTTGCTCCAAGCCTCATCCAGCCTGGCCTTGGACACTTCCAGGGATGGGGCATCCACAGCTTCTCTGGGCAACCTGTCCCAGTGCCTCACCACCCTCTCTGGGAAGAACTTCTTCCTGATATCCAATCTAAACCTCCCCACTTTCAATTTAAACCCGTTACCCCTTGTCCTGTCACTACAGACCCTTGTAAAAAGTCCCCCCCAGCTTCCTTGTAGCCCCTTCAGGCGCTGGAAGGTGCTATAAGGTCTCCCCGGAGCCTTCTCTTCTCCAGGCTGAACAAGCCAAATTCCCTCAGCCTTTCATCATAGAAGAAATCAGTCTCCTGAAAGCCCTGGACAAGTCTGGGAGCAAATCACCGGCTAGTATCAGCTGACATAGCTACAGTAGCATCACGGTAATTGCACTGCTTTGTGCTAGCTGAGGATCTGCCTCATAGTTGAACGTACGTCAACATGGATCGATGTAACTGGTGCTGCCTCTGTGCATAATTAATCGCCCTGAGTAGCTGCATAGTCTTGATTCTGTGTTATGGACGGATAGGCTAAAGGGAAGGCTGGGTGTGTACGTGGAAAATAAATCCTTCAAAAGTTGTTAGATGCAAAGATAACCACTTCTGGCTCAGGAATTCTCTGACCCCGAAGCCGTTGGTGAGGAAGAACCCCTGGAGAAGTGTCACTAAATGCTTGGTCTGTTCTTATACTCATCTCTGTGCACTGGCTTTAAGCTACTGTTGGGAAAAGGACATTGGACTATACAAAAATCTTTTGAACACATGTATTTAAGGGAATCCTGTAGTAATGAAGTCCCACTGTTCTTCCATTCAAAATAAGAGAATTCTGAGGCCTTTTATTAAATAAATAAATAAATAAATGGGATTCAAAAAGTGTTAGCTCTTTCCTTAACAATTTCATGTTACCAGCTACTTTACCCCATGTTACTTTGACAGACTGTCCAATAACAGTATTTTTTCTCACCATATATATAGGAAACTCCAACAAGCTCAAAGATCGCAATGATGACAAGAGAGTAAGAAGCTGCGTAAGTGTCCACAAGCTGTAACATATACATTCCACCCTAAAGAAAAGGAGGGTAAAACAGGCATTACTCATAGTCTTTATAGATATAACAACTCCAGCTGGAACCACAGTAGGCAAAATGGGCAGGAGCAGGACCCAGGACTCTCAATCCCAAGTAGCCATTGGCCGGACACAGGCTCATGCCGCACTCTGGTTCCTTCTGGCGGAACGAATATCAAATCCAACAAGAAAAAAGCGGGGGCTGAACCTGAGTCCGGCAGCTATCACACCTTGGGAAGACATCGGTTTCAGTTCTCTCAGATTAAGGACTGAACTACAGCCAGACCCTCCACCAGCAGTGTCTCCAACCATGTAATACTATGTCAGAAGCAAAAACCACCACTGAGACCAGGAAAACTGAAGCAGTGAGTCCAGTTCATCTCTTCAGAAAGGATACAATGCCCCATCTTCAGGGCAGAAGGTAAGCAGCATAATTCGAGTGAAGGAAGGACTCAATCCACCCAAGGCTTTAGAACAGCAATCTGGGCTGGTGGATGATGAGGTGAGGGGAAAGAAAGAAAAAAGGGGGCTGGGGGAAAGAATAAAATAGTAAGATAGATTTTGTGTACCTCCCCTTGAAATTGCTGAGAGTTTATAATGCTGGAAGAATTAGTGGACAAAAGACACTGAGGGCTATCAACAGTAGACAGAATTTCATTATTAACTCCACAGTTTGCCAAGACTATTGGTATATATCTGATCCAGGAGGGAAGGCACCCAAAACTGGTATGCATGTTTATATGACATACAAACTTTCTCTTTTTCTTAAACGAATACATAACTTATGTAATTGCTTTCGAAATAATTTGGCTGGGGATAAATTTTAGAAGTCTGATTCTCAGGAAGATATGAACGGCAAAGCCTTTTAATTATATCTCAGTCAAATAAAAAAAATAAGGCTTTCAGACTCACTCGGTGTCTTTGTGCACACAGTAGAATTCAGCTTAATCTTTTGCTACTTACACAGGAGGGGAAAGGCCACCAGAGGGGGACTGGGGACAGCGATGCTCAAAGACAATATTATTACCTGAGTGATCATAGGAAACCCCATGATGAAAAAGGAGATGCAGCACCCGAGAGTGAACAGTGCCTTGTGCGTACGTAAGTATTTGGGGAACTCATCCGAAACGGAGGTCACGATAGTCTCAATAGTGGCAAACTGGAAGGCAGAATAAAAGGATTCATTTCAGCGCATACCACATACACAAAACGGTCCAGCTGGATCTATTAGACTATGAGACAGAGGATTTCAAATCCTAGGTGTTAAATGCTCAGATATCAACACCAAAGCTTCACCCAAATGCTTTCGGCATTGATGGCCTTACTTCATTCCTCTTTTTGCCAAGCGGTTCACTGACCACATGGAAAACAGCAAGAAATCTCATGGTCCTCCAAACAGAAAAATAGGAAAAGCAAGAGGAAAAGAAGAGGAAACAAAAGCAGTTTACCATAGTGTCCAATCCAAGCGTCAGAAGCATCAAAAAAAATATTATAGCCCAGAATGGAGACAGGGGAAGCCTAGTTAAGGCTTCTGGGTAAACCACGAAAGCAATTCCAGGACCTAGAAATGAGAAAAATAAAGGCTGTGATATCTTGCATCGTGTTAACACTGTTGTCTGAATGGAAAAGAGGGAGACAAAGAGGCGTATTTCAAAGTACAGTACAATATTGCTTAGCTTGATAAAAGTAAATACATCAGATACAGTCTCTCCTATTTACAGGAAGACATAACCACTACAGAAAACCTTGCACGGTTTATTTTTGTTTTGACTGAGTTTCAAATCACTCACGCACTCCCACTTTCCAAGCTGCAGAATACATATTTAACCAGTATATTAACATACTGATCTAAACACAGAAAAAAATAAACAGTTGTGCACTGCAGCTGTGTTTCTTTCCTGCTCTGTCATCAAATTCCTGCCACTGTCCCTGCCAATTAGCAACCCGGCCTCAGATCAACAGAGCAATCACCCACACCTCAGTACTACAAGGATGAATGGGAAAGAAAATACTCCAACTCATCAGCACACAGTCAAGTGAGAAGGAGAAAACATAACAGAGGTGCAGAGCTGACGCCAGACACAAAGTAATAACTGCCATCAATCTAAAAAAATACCTAAGAAATTCTGAAGTAACGCACAGCAGAAAAAATAAGGAGATGGGTGTTTTTTAAAACCTTAGCCAGGAATTTTCCTTTCTCTGTTGGCTTGATATGTTTGGCTATTGTTTTTATTGACTGTAAAGAAAAATTATTTTTACAAGCATGTCTGGATTTGTCTGGGAGAAAAGGCTGCAGGAATGTGGCAGCAGCATTACAGTAGATGGCACTTCTTCTCTATTTATCCCAGCTAAAGGTGTGTCCCCTTCAAATGCCCTGAAGGATGTTTCCTGTCAGGCAAGATACAAATGAGAGCCAAGTTATGCGGATTCCAAGATCTATTCCAAGAGAAGGGGCTCCAAACTCACTTGGTCCCAGCCATTTCTAATCTAGATTATCAGATCTCATTTCCTACAGCCCCCCTAGGTGTTTCAGTTTCAGAGAGAACCGTTATTATCTCATATACTGAGGAAAAAAGCAGTTTTATCAGCATGTGAAATAACCTCTGTGGGCAACTTGTGAAGTGTTTGGAGTTCCTTCTGAACCGAAGACAGATATGACAGTTAACATCAAACCAAAACAAAAACTAACAGACCAAAAAAACCCACTGTATACTGCACAAAGATGGTGTTTGGAATAGTAAAGTGTTTGCAGAACTACTATGTATTCATCAACACGTTCTTCCATCTCTTGATTAAAGATTTCTTCTTGACTGTTAGAGATAAGGGCTCTGTTTGCATTAGCTTCCTGCATGCCGTTTAATTAAGACTCGGAATAACGAGTTCCCATTAATCACACTTTTTAGGAAAAGTTTAATTATAGAATATGAAAGCGCACATCTCCCCATCTCAGAACTCCAAGATACCACATGCCAGGGAGCATCCAGTCCCAGGGAGGCTGGATCCCATTCTCTCCACCTTTGGAGACTTAGGAGGGTATGAACTCTGTCTAAAAGTCTATTAAAACCAGGAAAACACCAGAGGTTTGACTAAAAATGTCAAATGTTGTTGAACTTTAATTTTCAATTACTAAAATTTTTTTCAACGGCGCCATGTTCTTAATCAGATTAAAATGAAAATTGTCTTGCCCTTCCCTCCATGCTAAGTGTTTTATTTGTTTATCAGGCACACCTTTTTTTCAGGAAAAACTCAATTAAAAGAAAAATCAGATTAATATTTTAGGGGTAAAAAAAAAAAAAAAAAAAAAAAATCCCTTCCCACTTCCACCAACAATTTCATTCAGGGTTTTGAAAACTTGAAGGGAGATTATCTTTCATCATCATTTTGACTGTTTTCTCCTTCACTACAAAAAGAAATACAATGTTAGAATTAAAAAAAAACGTGGGCAAGGACAAGGGCTGGCTCTTTTCCCCACTTCTTGAATCTGCCTTTTAACTCTGTTAGTTCAATGTGCTAACTCAGTCTGCTGTTATCCCTAATGTTCACCCTCTTCCTACTGTACAGTCAACTTCTATGAAGTGACTAATTTTGTTTCCTCTATCACAGAGAACCATGAAGCCTCAGCCTTGTGAAATATTTTTAAATGCCCGAAATGGGCTGTTCCAAATGCACTGACAGCCCTACAATAAGACTGTCCTGTGACAGCTTTTTTCACATCCCCTTGAACAGCTGCTGAAACAGCCAGGAACAGAGAGCTCCATCCATCCCTTCGGAGCTTCCACTGCAGCTTCACTCAAGCACAGCTTCTTTGACTCTTAACTCCTTACAAGTAATCTTGGGGAGTGCAGCGTGGCTTACATTTGGGGGCTGGTTTTTTATTGTTTCAGGATGGAGGTGAAGTCTAAAATAAAAAAAGTTAATGGAAACATTACTCCTTAAACACCTGGCCTCACGTGGAGTTTTTCAAACACAATATCCTAAATCCAGCCAGAAAATGGGGATGAGAATTACCTGTTCCCACTTACCTGACTGGCAGTTAAAAAGAAGAGATGAGGCACTGAAGACGGAATTGCTATTACATTAGCTTACAAGTGGAATATCCCCTACTACTTGATGTGAACTAAGATATGGACTGGTTGGAGCGACTCCAGAGGAGGGCCACAAAAATGTTCAGGGGGCTAGAGCACTTCTTTAGGCTGAGAGAGTTGGGCTTGTTCAGCCTGGAGAAGAGAAGGCTCCGGGGAGACCTTATAGCACCTTCCAGTGCCTGAAGGGGGTTTATAAGAAAGATGGGGACAGACCTTTTTTCAGGGCCTGTAGTGACAGGACAAGGGGTAACGGGTCTAAACTGCAAGAGGGCAGATTCAGACTAGATACAAAGAAGAAAAGTTTTACAATGAGGGTGGTGAAACACTGGCTCAGGCTGCCCAGAGGTGGTAGATGCCCCATCCCTGGAACCACTCAAGGTCAGTTTGGATGGGTATCTGGGCAACCTGCTCTAGTTGAAGATGTCCCTGCTCATTGCAGGGGGTTGGACTAGGCGACCTTTAAAGGTCCCTTCCAACCCAAACCAGTCTAGGATTCTATTTGCTATCAAGAAACAGTTTGCTGGCTGAGCATCCTATGAAACTCTCCTCTCAGACCTTTCTGCTGAATCCAAAGCCCAGTTAGCAGCCCATCCTACCACGGGTCGACTGGTGCAAGCCCCTGGCTAACTCCCCGTGACTGAACCTCACCTCACAGGCTTCTCCTCACCTCAACATCTGGGCTGCCATATAACAACCGAAGGAGCTGCAGAAATGGAATGTGACCCAACACCTTTACTCGCATCTCTAAGGTCAGAAGTACTGCAAAATCTGTGAGATTATCCATGTTTCAGTTTACTGAGAATGAATAAGCAAAAAGAAACCAAGAGCCTTTCCTACTTCTTAACCAGCAGCAAGATCTTGTGCCTCTCCTTCTTTCATATGTAGTAGCTTGTTTCTAACAAACTATTAGAAACATTAGAGTTCTGAGAAAAGGTATTTTTCAAGAAAAAAAGAATCCTTCATCTGCCTCATTGGCTCTTGTTCCTACAGCTACAGGATTTCTGTGTCCCCAGCTCATGTTTTCCTTTTAGCTCCCACAACACTGTTAAATGTAAATTAACCTTCCTCCCTAATTTGTCCAGGATGACCTATGGAAAATTGTCTTGATTTCTATCTCTCTTGTCAACTCACTGCTACAATTCCATGAAGCTCAGCCAGTCAGGTACTTCAGGCTACGTGTAGCACCTTACGGCACTGAATTTGTCCAATGCAACAAACCTGTCAGAAAAATGTTTGGTGTCTTCACACTGGTGGAGACAGGGAGGCACGTCACGTATAGAAACCATGAGTATGCAACATTCACTTTCTGAACTCTTCCATCCTCCTCCCCTTCAGAGCCTCCTCTTGCTCTGTGCTATCATGGGGCGGGGAGGGGGTGACACTGGGAACCATCCCCATGGCTCACAGAGAAGGCATCTTTCCTTCAGGGCATGGAAACGACGGTGTCTGTGCTGAGAGCTAACACACTTAACACCCTCACGCGCTCACAGAAACAGCTCTGGTGGGGGAATCATAAACATGTATAGGGGCTATTACAGTTATTACAAATTTGTCTTTTTAATACAATTTCAAATAATTTTAAAGATCTGGGGGTTGGTTGGCTTGGAGCCAAAGTGTTGCACATTTCACAGGAAATGTAGGGCTAGACTGAAGTAACAATTAACCCTCTATAATCCCATCAGATTTTTACAACCCCTTCAAGTTCTCTGATTCTCACCCCAAAGGCTTCTTCCTTCCTGTCTCTCGCTACTTCACACCAAATCATACATAGCAGCACCAATTCCTCCATCAGTCAGTCTTCTCACTTGTGTTCAGCTCAGACAATTAAGACCTTTCAGATTGCCATTTATAACCATTTCACTTCATTAACCAAGATCTTCTAAACCCATTCCTCAGAAATTGTTTACTTCCCCATGGAGGCAGCTCCCTGCTTCCCACACTTCAGAGGCTCAATACGCCTCTCTCATCTCCCACACACTTCCCATCACGAAACCCACCATCCTCTCGTCCAAGATCCCCGCCATCAGGAACAACTTTTGCCTTGGAAGACTTGACAAAGCAGCAGCAGAACTGAATGAAAAGGCCAGTGACTACTTAGACTATGTGAAGGAGACATGTCACCCTACCTCCTACCCATAATTTACATAAATATTTGAAATGGGTCTCAGGTTGCTTCCTGCTCTTACCAAACAAGTGATAAGGAGGCTTTCAAGTAATATCTTGACTTCCCAGTGTACTTCCCAATGGACCTTCTTCCATACAGAAATACCTACAAGTGGTTTAACTAATCCACTCCTGCTTGAAGCCATTATTCCCACCTCCCGTGTGAATGCCATCATTAATAACAGAGCTGAAGATGCCACCAGGGGCCTAACTAACACAAGCATATCCTACCTTGGTCTGCCACAGCTTCAATATTCACTTTGAGCTCATTTGCCATGAAGCCAATAACTGAGAAGATGACAAAGCCTGCAAATATACTTGTGGCACTGTTGGTACATGTGACTATCAACGTGTCCCTGAAAAGAAAACACAAGAAACCACATCACCTTGGTGTAATACATGCAAGGGAGGAGGGTTTTGTATGCAATTAAAGAGAATTAAGAAGTCATGAGCACATACAGCCTGTGGAAATACTGATGAAGGTACACTTTTACATATTTGATGCTGACCAGAGATGACAGAAGTCTTCACACCACCACCAGGAACCAGCTGTGCCAGTTTCCATCACCCACGTGCCATATAGAAAGCTATAGGCCAAGCAGGAGGATGAACACTTCTGCTTTTGGCCTCTCCAAAGAAGGTAGCAATGATGACAGGATTTGCAATGCAGTGTTTTACTCTTTGCCTGATAGAATCATGGGATGGTTTGGGTTGGGAGGGACCTTAAAGATCATCTAGTTCCAACACCTTGCCGTGGGCAGGGACATCTTCCACTAGACCAGGTTGCTCCAAGCCTCATCCAGCCTGGCCTTGGACACTTCCAGGGATGGGGCATCCACAACATCTCTGGGCAACTTGTCCCAGTGCCTCCCCACCCCCTCCGGGAAGAACTTCCACAATCTAAACGTGGCTATCTGCTCACTATCTTGCATACAAACTAACCATCACTGTCCAGCTAAGATGATTCTTTGTCCCGTATCTTCTTTGTATTTATATGCAGAATCTCACAGTTAAGCTTTCTGTACCTTGCGGCACCCTCTTAAACACCTGCCCATCTGTAGAGGATTCCCTGGTACAATTTCCTGTTGTGGTTAAGGAAACCTAAGAAATCCATACCTGAACACCATGCTATACTGGGTAAGTACATGTGACTTGACAGGAAACGAGCCCTCATGATCCCCATCCGTAATTATAACATTCTTGATAGGATTTTTATTTTTCCTTCATGATAGTTGTAGCCCAAACCCTTTCCCTTAAACTACTATGACTGAGGAACAAAGAATCCACTCACTTTACATGGTTTTCAAAGCTGCTAGGATTGCTTACTCCTACTGCTACTTGTTTGTGAGGAACAGAACAAAATACAACCTGAAAAGCTGTCAGGAACATCACTGAGCTGGCAAATTTCTGGAATCTTTAACAGAGCATCTCTTAACATGAATAATTAGGTCAATTCTGCAGGTCTACAGAAAAAGATGACAGTGTTCTGTTTGGAACCACCATGTGTTAATCTTCTTCCAAACCCAGATAAGTTTTAAGTAAAATATTTTAGGTATGCATTATGAAGTAAATTTATTTACATTTACTGTAATTATAGATTATTTAACGATGTTTAAAATGAATATGCAACCGAAAGCTACAATTTTATCTGCAGTATTAGAACATAATGGATATAAAATTTGAAAGGGAAAATAGTCTTGTCATTTCAGTATTCAAGATGTGTTGTAAAATTATGATGATTAGAAGTAACTCAGCTTTTCTAATTATTTCTGCTTCAGTGTCCCATAGCGCTCTCTAACATAGGTAAAGCATGTATTTAGTGTTAGACCTGGAAGATATTTCATTGACAAGTATTTAATTCAAAATTTTCATTATAATTTTCCAAATTCCACAAAACATGACTGAACTAATGGAGAAAGATAGCATGACACTTCTCCCATTTTTTGCCCTGATATTCTGAATGTGTTCATTGATCACCAAATAAATCAGAGCCCAGAACAAGCGTTTTCAAAGACAGGACTCAAAGGATTGCTGGGTTGGAGTTACTGAGTACACCTCGTTTACTTATTCATCCATACTTTAGGATAATTATATTAAATGACTTCCTTTGAGCACAAGTAGGAAACGTTTTTCAAATTCCTTTCTAAAATCCTGATCCACATTTTTTGATTTAAGTATTCTGTATACAGTACTTCGAAATTATAGGATATGGGAGTTCAAAAAGTGTGTGCTTTCAAGTCTCGATTCAGGAAAGATTTTGAGCGTGGCCTTGGGACAGTCCCTGTGCATGCCTTTTGGCTGCCCTGAGTCAGCACCTCTGTCACTGCAGGAATCAGGAAAGGTTGGCTTCAGTAGAAACAAGATTGGCTTTAAAGACTATAAAATATCAGGGCAGGATTCTACTGATGCCACTTGCTTTTGTTTTTTCCATCTGCAGACATTTACCTGGTACGTTTTTTGATGAAAAACTAAACAATGCCACCAGAACAATGACTTTTTTCCTTGCAAAAATAACTTCCAGTGATTTCAGATGAAAGAGATTTTAAATTTTACAACTTCAAACAACGTGGTACGTGTAACCACAATAAGTGGAATTGGGAATAAAACAGCAACAATCAGGAGAGGCATGAATCACGTCCATGGAAATCACATTAAACTCATGTACGTCTCAACAGCAAACTTCAGCTCATGCTACACAGCGCTTGTTCTTCAGCAGAGGCTGCCAACTGGCACAGATTCATGTCACTGCTCACAGCTGTTGACAGCTTCTAGATTGCCATTCAACCTAAAACTGCTGAAGAGCCAAGAGGGACTGTAATAATCTTAAAGCTCATTTTGAGACTAGTAGATTAGGACCTAGGAAGAAGATACGAAACACAGAACTGAAAAAGATGAAAGAAACAAAACAAAACAAACACCAAAGGGAGTGGGGAATAACCCACACCTAACACAGGGGAAAAATAAAGGAAAATAAATAAAAAGGAAAATAAAGAGAAAGGTCTTTCAAACCACATTTCTGCAAATTGGAAGATGACTGGGTTTGGACAAGACCTGTTTAATGAGACTGATGGGTTTCACTCTCACATACCTGTAGCAGTTGTTATGGAATTTGTTGTAAGAAGAGAGAGTAATTAGACCTCCCCATGCTGCAGATAAGGAGAAGAAAATCTGAGTGGCAGCATCCTTCCAAACCTAAGTAAGATAGACAGGAGAGGAAATAGCACTGGCTTCAGGAAAGAGCATTAGAAAGGTCAGCAACACTATTGAATGTTACTGTTAGGGGATTAACACGTAAGTAGTTTAAATGAACTTCAGAACAATGGGTGCCAATAGAACATTTAAAAGCAAAATTCTGCCCCAAAATACATACAGCCCATTTGATGAGAAGTGCTGCTCTTGTTGAGCCTGTAGAGGTGCCAGTATAACCTTAGCTGCGTATGGAAGGTACAAATATTCAAATTATATTGCTTGATACAGATCAGTTCAAATACATTCAGCAAAGAAAAAACAAATCGAGATGAGAAATCTGCACCAGGTATTGATGGTTTATCCACCAATGGTCCTATGTAATACTTTATCTTCTTGATAAAAGCAAGAACCTCAGCGCTGCCCAATGCCTGATTTAGGAATGAGATTACATTAAAATTAGGGTACGTTTCCATCATCAGGTGTACATCAAGCAGCAGAGGAAGTCACAGCCATTTACACACATCCAGTTCCCTCCCATCAGAAGAAAAGAGATGCTCGGCAAAGTCTCTCTTCAAAACCAAACCACCCAACAGCACTGTTTGCTCTGTACCAAAGTTCTTCAAAGCCTTAGATGCACTTAGAGACCACATTTCTAAATTGCCCGCAATATCCAAAGAGTTGGTCTTACTTATGACTTGCAGAATGGCTGAAATATTGGTATTTCAATTCACAAGCTTTCCTACAAAGTCTGATGTTCCACCCAAGTCAACAGTGCAGAAATGGAGATAGAGGTACATGCACAGGTAAGTGTACCTATGCACACACTAACCAGTTTGAAAATATTACTTCATTGCTACTTGAAACATTACCAGCCAACAAACAGTCAATCCTTCATCTAACTGAGCGTAATATAGAGCTTTTAGTTCATGTTACACTGCAAAAAAATTGACAACAGGTGCTCACCTTATTATTATCAAACACTTACCCAGGGTTATACAGATATTTAGTGTGTTCAGACAGCTCTGTTTCGCAACAGGCAACGTTTCTCACCTCCTTTATTGCACAATGTGGGATCAAAAGGTGCTCATATTTAATGCAAAATTAATATCTGTATTGTTTGCAAAAGATTTAATACTCCTGTCGCCAAAGAATCAAAATACCCATGATAGCAGAAATATTAAGAAAATTAAGATCTGCACAATACATCCAAGAATTAGTTTTCATCTTTAATTTTCAATCCATCAGTGTGATATCAAACTGCCATGGATAGAGGTAAAAAAAAAAAAAAAAAAAAATCAGTAGATTTCCTGAGGTGTTGCTAAAAATCCTTTTTAAATTTCTAGAGAAAAGAGTGTGAATTGTAACTCTCGGCTCAGGCTTCAGTTCAGTCCCCAGAATCCTGTCCCAAGACACAACCAGCACAGAGGCGCTTGTGTGCCATATCAGACAAATACATGATCCGCGGGTGGATTTAGATCCACACAAACACAAATCCATCTGTATTTTTGGAACAGGTTTCACTGGCCTTGTTGGCAACAAATGGCATTTTAGAAATCAGGTGAAATCCTAAGTGATGCAGCAGAGCAGAAGCTCCATCTTGCTTAAAGCAAAGCCAGGTACCAAGTCCCTTAACTCTGTGTTGTCCAGCACGGCACGTCGCCTTGTTTCTAATAATGCAGGGAGACTAACAATTGCTGCCGTTCTGTGTCGGTCTACACGCTCCTGGGGAGTTAGATTAGGACGTAGAATCTGTTTTTGTTTCATCTCATGCCTCAGATGCATTATTCAGAACAATCTCGGTTCAATGATTAAAATGCACCTATTCTCAGCATTTCTCAAGGAACACAAGTTTACGACGTTACCTATTAAATCTTCATGCGCTCGTTCAAGTCGAGGCAGCATCCATCAGACACTGCCATATTAAAATCTATCCTTCCTTTTTAATTCCCTATTTTCCAAATGCACCTACTCCGAGAGATTCGTGTGAAATATTAAATGTGAATTAAACACCATCTCTAATAATATATGCAAAAAAAAAAGTGTTACGTGCAGATAAAGAACAAACATCCATTGCAACCACACGCCACGTAAGACGAAGAACAAGCTTCCACAGATGGCAAATGCAGCCTCTACACATAGAAAATGCCTGCAACGGACCCCAGGAAATCTGTATGAATTACGCAGCCGAGCAGAGGTATAAGTGCAATAATAAGCCCACCATAGCATCGATTAGCTTCTCCCACTTTGGTGTGATGAAGTACCAGATTCCAGCTCCAGCTCCTGGTAGAGTTACTCCTCTTATAAGAAGGATGATGAGAACTACATAGGGGAATGTAGCTGTAAAGTACACCACCTGGACAGAGCAAAAAAAGGGATTAATGAAAGGGTTCTTTGGGTGTATAAGAAGTGAGGGAAGGGGGCGATACAAATGCTACGCTAGTGCTTGAAGAAAGCAACTAGAAGCTGAGACAACAGGGTTATTTCCTGGGAAATCTCAAGTTTTACAGCTCTTCTTGCTGCTGGAAACAGGAAAAATACCAACTGTAACAGAAGTAAGAGTTGGTTCTAGGCAGAGAGGGGAAGAAAAAACAGAAGAGAAAGTCTGGAAAAGGGTAATTGGAATTTATAGCTAAATGAAAATACCACTTTTGATCCTTGCTCAGATCAAGGAGTAAACTAACATGGCTCAATGGAAATGAAATGAGCAATGCCATCCAATACTACTTAAAGTTCTGATTTCTTTCTATTTTATTTTAATATAATATTTTAAATATTTCTCTGTATTTAACTAAGCCTAAAGAATTAGTATTACTGTTGGTATTCCTTCATAATTACATATCACCATAAAAATATAGATGGTCTCAATGCAAAAAAAAAAAAAAAAGTCAGTGGAATGATCCAGATAGACCTAATCATCGTTATGTCTAAATACACAACAGAGGTTGTGTGTTTTACATCTTAATAATTATCTAGTACAGAGCAGAGCTCTCTCTGTGGTCAAATAAGATGGGTAAATTATACCCAGTTAAACTGTGTACTCTACCCAAAAGTGTTTCAAATCCCTTTACACATTTACCTCTGAACTGTACAGGGACCTGAATCACCTGAGCTGATGTGACATTTAAACTGCTTTCCCAACTTTCTCCTTGCTGTTTCGAGAAGTTGCCCCAAGAAATTTTTGTGCTGTGGATATACTGAACTCATCAATGCATAAATACAAGTTTTCTATCCCTGACACCAAGGAGTCACTATTTTGCTGTACCGCAAAGTCTCACTTAAAATCTATTGCCACATCTAACACCAATTTATTCTTCTCTGCAACTTCTTTCTTGGTTCTGGCCTTCCATGAAACAGCTTTTCCTATCACACTAAGGTAGGGGAAAAAACCAAAATCTCAACTTTCCATGGTCTTCTGAGTTTCTGGATTTTCTGATAATTCCCAAATTACCTCACAGCAGATTTTGCCAGCTTCCAGATGTAAACAAAAGGCTTGGAATCAGAAAGCCTGTGCCCAGCTCTAGAAATTTCATGGCTATCTCTGCATATTCGCTATCTTTATCCCAGGAAATATCTAAAACAGCAAACACCAAATTAAAAAAAAAAAATATCCAAACCCAACAACACCCAAAGCAGTGCTGCTGCTAAAGGAAAAGCTGCATTTCTCTGCTCAGATGGCTGCCTGGCCAATTCATATACCTGTACTTCCGTGCCAACAACAGCAGGTCATGCTCTCTCTTGACACGGCTGCTGGTTAGGAGAGAGCAAGCTGCAGCTTTGAGGAGCAAGGGAGAGAATGACATATGAGACACCAGAGAAACAGAGCAAGGAGCTGGGTTACGACAAGGAGGAGTTGTCCAAAGATGGCACCAAGTATTTGGGAAAAGAGGATACACCCTGTCACTACTCACACTCACCACAGAACAATTTGAGTTCAGCTCTTACTCTGAAACGTGTTGCTTAACATCTCAATATATGTGATAATTTCCCTGATTACAGTGACACATAAGGTGACTGCAGAGTTTTTAATGACACCGCGCAGAACAGGGAAGACTGCTGAAGGCGCCTTTTTGCCACCCGACTGCTGAGCGCAGCTCAAAGGCTCATTTTAAGCTTACTGAAGATTAGGGAGCAAATGCTGAACCAAAATGATCTTTTTTAAAAATGTTTTGGCTAAATAGAAAAACACAGACAGGAAAAAGGCATTTCAGTAATACTTAACCACTTACTGAAAATAATTTCCAGCAAATCACTCTTAAACAAGAGTTTGATTCCCTTAAAGCAGCACATTGCTTTCTTGCAAATGTGCAACCACAAATATTTTTCTTACTTTTCCTGATGACTTGATTCCTTTAGCAAGAGAGGCATATACAATCACCCAAGCCAGGAAAAGAGATAGTGCCAAGGGCCATCTAATCTCACCAGGATATTCAATCCCTGCTGAAATCTTCAGTACAAAGTACCTAAGAAGAAAAAATAAATTTAAAAAAAAAAAAGAAAGAAAAAGGATAAAATTAATGACAGCAACTGCAGGCAAATTCAGAGCAAATTCCTGCAGTGTTTTGTTTTGCTTCAGTGTTCTCAGCGGTTTCTCTAGAAGGTTCCAGTGACTCTCAACACGTATTATTTTATTTATCTGCATTGCAGCAGTAGATAAAAATGCCAGGCATGGGCCAACACCCCAGCTGTGCTAAGCACCATAGGCACAGAACACAAATAACCCAGCGCTAGAAATTTAGCTTTCAGCATTCCTATGCACAAAAACGGGTATCATCTGCTGTCCTGAACTACTGCGTTTCTAGTCTTCCAAATAGTGACTTTGTTACGGTGGATTTGAGAGAAAAACTAACACGACACCTCCAAACAAAGACAGATCTTACTTGAAGTATTCTTCACTTCCACTGACAAACGTTTTGTTTCCTTCGCTGGTGAAGTTAACCATAGTCAAGTTTGGATAGGCACTCATACAGAAAGTAGAGTTCTTGATTTGTATTTTTGGGTGGTCACCAATAATGCAAGAATCTATGAAGAAAAGGGGAGGGGGTGGGGGAGGAGAGAAAAAAATAACTTTAGATTTTTTTTTTTTTCCTAAGTTGGGTGTAAAATGACAACAAAAAAGCATTAGATCACACACACTACTTCAATTTTGGTTTTGTGTGAGATTTCCAGAACACCTTGCTTCAAGAAGCTGTAAGGGTCTGAGAGAACTGGGTCTTAAAATATCTCATGATTTTCCCCCTTTAACCCAAATATCTAAGGCATAAAAGGAGCCCGAGGGAGGGAAAGGACAGAGCACTCCTTCCCTGCCGGGGGTCACCCCACGCGGGGTGGGGGCTGGGGTGTAGCCCCGGGCCGGGGTTAGGGAGGGCTGAGGAGTCAGGACACGTTTTGTGTCGTTTGCAAAAACGGTTTTCAGCGGTTTTTTCCTTAAAAATAAGCTTCGTTAAAGCCCACAAAGTTGTCTTGAACAGAAACCAGAGACCGCCAGCTACAGCATCTCGTTCCGTGCTTTCTTCCCAACAGTTTTTACCCGAAAAAAAAAAAAGGCTTTTCTTAGCATTATTGTTGAAAAATCCCGTTTATCCTTGATGATGAAGAATTTAAATATGAGTGGGAGGAGGAAGGCCCATGTGATGCAGATCATTTCAGGTTGCTCCGTGCTCACCGCAGTCCCCTCTGGCATCTCCCAGGGGCGCAGCTGAGCTGGAGAAAGCTCTGGAAAACCACCACGGCCACACACACCACCCCCCATTAAAAAAAAAAACAAACCAAAACAAACAAACAAAAAAAAGGTGTGGGGTGGGGTACCTGTCTCCACTTACCTAACATAAGTTTGTTTTTATCTTTGCAGTCTGGTGTGTTCCACGGGTTGTTGCAGGAAGCCCAAGGTAGCACAGGTACAAAGGACGCAAAAAGGTAGAAAAGTGTGTAGCACAGGATAATATTGTAATATATGGCTATCAGAACGGAGATGATCAGCATCGCGATGCCGCAGCCTAGGAGGAAGGAGAGGGGAGCCGCGGTTAATCCCGGGCGGCGGGGAAG